TACAGCTTAGCAGGGGCAAAACAATCACTATTTTCGGGCTTAATATCGACCTCGGATAATATTTTTCTTTCATTTTTTTTTTCAAAATATTGACTTTGGAGATATTCTGCTTGTCCTGAATGTGATTTTGTGTTAAAATTTAAAAGTTGCCTGCTATTATAGGGTACACACCGGTAAATCGATCCGCCAAGCTCATGAATAAAAGTTATACCCTCAAAATATTCTATATTAGAGAGTTCTGAGCGCCGTAAAATTGGGGAATTGAAGAGATATGGTAGTGAACCTCTGGCCCGGACTTGGGGCTTCCAATTCTGAGCATTTTGGATGCTATTGGGCTCGAAAGTGGCGCTATTTTGCCATGTTGTGGAGGGATCGTTTTTCAAGATGGCTACTTTTCCGCTTTGGGGAAAATAGGGGTCGTCTTCTTTGCGTGAAAATATCTCGAAAAGTCAATGGTCAACCCACCATAAATTGAAAAGAAATTGAAAGATGACACATTGATCATCATTTTTCTGTGCAGCTTGAATACCTGTGAGAGTTTTGAGTATTTTTAAAAGAATTTTGAAGTACGGGCATTTAGCACTAGTGTCTATGGGAGTTTATTTGCAGGTATGCACCCTTGTATACTGTCCTTTATCATGTATACAGGTAGCCTTAGTTAATGCGTTCGTCATTATTCGTCCGTACGCGGTAAACGATCGGTGGCATATCCTCGTTTTGCAGTGAATCAAAAATACAGCGCGAACAGCGACCTCATGTGGCCACTATTTTATGCAAATCACGTACTGGCTGGCTGGCATGTTTTCTTTGCAATGGTGGTTTATTGGTAGGAAAGCCGAAGTGGGGTAAAACGGACTACTCGAAGCAGTCAATATTAATGTGCATACTGAACATGGTGTTGTGTAATGCTGTAGATGATGTCGCAGCCGGTATTGACTGGACCATGCGTGCTCAACGTCGAAAATAATCCTTTTAAAAGCTTTTGGACCCTTGTGATCTGATGTTATGTCAATCGGTTTGGGTCTTTGAAAAATGGTTGTAGAAATAGTTTTATGGCTATTTCGGGGCGTTTATACGGATGGGTAAATTGAAAATGATACGTTCTGTTGGTCCTGTTCTATGGCTGTGTATTTACCTGGGAATCATCGGGGTAAAACGGATCTACATAGATCGGATGGTGTTCCTTTTTACCCCGCTTATTAGATATATATGCAATTTTCAAACGCACATTTACATCTCTGTTATTGTGTTCATTTTAGATTTCCCATTTTATCACCATTTGGTCAAATTCAAACTACATGGGAGTGGCGTCTGTTAAACCGAGATCGGGGTCAGATTGTTGGGTTTCGGGCTTGTGTCAGATGTTTCCCCTTTTCATAAAAAAATATGGTCCGCCCCTAAAAAAGGAAAAAAAAATATAATTTGAACAGTAAAAGTTGCGCCATCCCACATTGGATTAACAAAAATCGCACCACTTAAAGATTGCATAATGATGGCAGGATTGTTAATTTAGCAAATTGAAATCATCGAAATAACTTTTTTTCGGGAGCGCTTAATCCCCCGCCAAATGGTTTGAAACCACAGCCCTGCGCTTAAAAGGCTGAAAATAAAATGTCCTCAAGTGGTTTTGAACTTGTTTTCCTATGTGATCCTGAATTTTTAAAGATTGAACCAAAAAGTGCATGCCCTCCAGCTCACTGGCTATTGTCTGACACATTGAATAGGTAATACGCCTTTTGTAAGTAATTACCCAAGGGAATAGGTTGTTTTTCTTGGAGATTGAAGTTTCCTCGATGAATTGCCAATTGCTTTGCAAAGCCTTACAAAGGTGTTAAGGTAAACAGGCTTAAAAACTGTAAGGATATACCTCTGGGCCCACACTAGAAATGTTTCGGTTCAAGAATGCTCAGGTTCACACGAAAGAGCACATTGCATTCTACAAATTCCTTTTTGCCGTCGCTGGAAAATAAAATGCTTCTATTGTTAATTAGTTTTTTTCGTAGACCCACTACTGAGTGGGATTGGAATTGTGAGGTTTAAAAGACCTTCAGGGGCGCGGGACCTATATACCCCTTTTGTTGCTCCATGACCTTGCAATCTTTTACCATAGCCATGCACTTCATTTAAGCTCAGTATTCAGTAGAAGGTGCATGCTTTCCTCCACTGGGCAGAAGTTATCTCGATTCGACTTCATTGAAGTTTCCAACCAGGAATCCGAATTCCCTTCGTATTCGCCAGTAGTAAGGTAGTATACTAAAGTTGATTCCCTTGTGTGTATTTGTTATAAAAAAGGGAACAATTTCCGTACTCGGCCACAACTTTTTTTCAATTAATTTTCAAGCGCCAAAAGTTGTATACTTTAAGGTTATTCCCTCCACATTCCCTCCTCTACTCTCACCCTCTCCTTTCCTTATTTCTATTTATTATCAGTCACTTACTTCATCGAGATTCGAACCTCGGACTCTTGCTTGCAACACGAGACTCTTAACCGCTTTGCCGCGCACGATCGCTGTTGCGATAATCATTCTTTAGACGTATTTGAAGTAGCCATTGAAATAAACTAAATATTCATGAGAAAATAAATATTCATAATGACGTTTGCACTATCATTGGCCGGCTCATGCGACGTCATGGTTGTCGATGTCATGCGTATGACGTACCGCTGTCTGTCAGCCACTTAATCAGTTTTGACCGGCTGCTTCAACTTAGTTCTGCACGACGTGTGCATCCAAAATGGGCTCTAAAAACACATTTTGCCTAATTTTTTTTTCGCATTTACACAGCTTCCTGGATTCCTCTTGGGTGAAATCACAAGGTAAGGTGAAAACTGATGTGTTTAGCGGCAGGTAAAGTTGTGGCCGAGTATGGACATTTTCCCACGCGAACAGCAAGAATATGAGCGGATCTAGCTTTTATGAAGGGGGGATGCATGATACGACGGGGTGGGGAGTGAAAACGATTGAAACCTACGATGCTTTATCCTGCATTCTAAGGCATTATGAGAATGAATTATGAACGTTAGCATTCCAATTTGGCCCCATTTTACTAGTATTATAACGGCGGTTAAAGGGGGTCGTGGCGGGGAGATTAGAACCCCAACCCCGTAAGATTCCCCACTGAATAGTACTTTGGGCAGTGTTGAAGTCGAGTCCTCAGAACCGAGTAACGAGTACTCCGAGTACTTTAAGGGCCGATTCCTGGGCCGAGTCCAAGTACTGTGACGAGTCCGAGTCCAAAGCACCGAGTCCGAGTACATTCGAATTCAAGGTTGAGTACTTGGCCGAGTCCGAGTACCTAAGTCCACACAACCCAATTTTCTTGACCAAAATGTAACACCACCAACTTTTTGGCTGTCCCAAAAAATTGGGTGAAAGGAACGACACCGTAGTTCAATGGTTCAACCATAACCATACAAAAAGCATAATGCTTGGAGAAAAACAACTTGTTTGCACACAGTGCACACATTTCTGACCACAGTAGTCACAAAAGAGACCACGGCTTGGATGATTTACAGTAAGCAGTGCACAAACATATGACACGCACGTGAAAAGGCAAGGCGTTCCTATCACGCAAAATATTATTTGTGTAAAATTCCAAAGATTTCCCTTCGTACCGGTAAAGGACAAGAATCCGGAGACAGCCAAGTCCATGCTTCTTATGTTCACTCGGCGCTGCACGGAGAGACCTTTTCGGGGTTGTTCCAAGCAAAATCCTAGCTTGGGAAAAGTTACTAAAATGGTCTCAGTGGTATTCCGAGCGAACATAAGAAGCATATGCCTAGCTGGCTCTTATTAACGCGCCAATGAAGCGCTGGGACAAGGATTTTGCTTGGAAAAAATCTCGAAATGATCTCACTGATATCGACTTAGGTTCCAGGTTGCAATGGAATCGATAAAAAAGAAATGTACTCGATTTGTAACTTCCAAGTTTAAAGAATCGAGTACGGGCCGAGTCCCAATAATTTTCGAGTACTGATAGTCGAGTACGGGCCGAGTACTTGATTGCGGCTCGAGTTGTACTCGAATACGAGTACAAGTATACGAGTACTCCAATGCTAACCTTGGGTGAATTTTTTCTTTGAAAGATGATAAATTCTACCCTCTCTGATACAACTACACAATACAAAGTGCATGCACTCATACATTGTTGGATTACCTTTTTTTTTATAAACACCAATATATATATTGTTTATGCGGTGAATTCCGAGCACAAATGTTGGTTAAGGTAAAAAGGCCTTTTCCCGTCCTTTTGGAGTCCGGGTCAGTTCCAATCGCATAATTAGTACGGTGGGAAGAAGGGGCTATTGTGCACCCTCGGAACTTCTAATCAACGTCTCTAGATTAGAAAAAAATGCGTAGAAAACGATTTGCTATGTACTGTTTTTATGCAAATTAGTGCCGCCATTACCGAAAAATCTATTTTTCACTATATCTTAGCCAATTTTGCATATAACTGAACAAATTAGGTGTCTCAACCCATTTTTTCAAGGTCAGACATCACAATAAAACTATTTAACTATTTTGGAAGTGACCACATTGTGTCTGTGGCATAGGAAAAGGCAAATTAGTGCCGCTAATACCAAACCTCATTTTTTGGGGGCATATCTCGGCCAATGTAGCACATAACTACACAAGCAAGGTGTATAAACCCATGTTTCGAGGGTTAGGTATCATTAGAAGACCATTCACGCTCTTAGATTTTTCGGTAATGGCGGATAATCAGCTGCGGGTGCCCGGGCCAAAACTGAAATCCATCTATAACGTAGAATCAGATATTTTATGATGCAATCTCGGCGGAACCTGTTTGGATAACTGACATTTTTTTTGTCAGCAACCAAATTGCTCAAGAAACAGAGGATAAAATAGGAGGGCGCTATAGCAGGTTCAGTTTGTGTACATACAAAAAGCCTGCCTGTTCCCAAATTGAAGCGCCCTCTATATACTCGATGGCACTATTGCATTCTTGCGTTTATGAAAATTTTTACATTTCATACAAAGCACTTTTTGCGTATAGATGTCGTCAACAATGGTCGTTGAAGAACCCAAGCATAATCTTACTACCAAAGGCGAAGATGCTCCGGAGTGCAGATATTTCTCTCTCAGACCACCGTGTCTTCAACGCTTCGCACGGCCGGCCTTCTTCGTTGTCGTTGCCAGCATGTTCTACTTCGCCGATACTTTTGTGGTCGGGGTGATCCAGGGAACGGTAACCACCACTGAACATCGGTATCAGTTCAGCCTCAGTCAGGTGGGCTTGTTATTATCAGCCTTTTGTGTAGGCGGAGTCATTGGAAACGTGTGCCTGATCTTGTTCTTCAGTAAGCCGGACACTAATCGACCCCGCCTATTGGGAATTTGTTCCCTGATGAGTGGTCTTGCGGTTGCTACAGAAACCATCCCACAATTCATTCAAGATCCATACGTTCCTGAAGGGTTCGAGACTGGCAACGACACAGCAAATGCGTTTCAGCAGATAAAGATGCTGTGCATGGGAGAGCAGACGGAGGCAGAGCACTGCACTGATGACCAGATGGCTGAGAACGTGTCTCCCAATCTGGTTGCTTTCTACATTATGCTGTTAAGCACTTTACTTCAAGGTGCATGTGTCATGATCATCGCTCCAACAGTGCAAACATACATCTCTGAAAATACAACTCCAAGAAGTACAGCCTTTTATATAGGTATGTTTGAATTTCATTATGGACTGAAACCTATCAACGATTTTAACTGTAGCTATAATACAACCGACTGGGTTATGTTTTCTTCAGTATGCTACTATTTAATGGTGTGATAATAATAATAATAATCATGGTTCCTATATATATATATATATAGCGCTTTTAACTAAGATTAAAGCGCTTTACATTATTGTTACCCATGAAAATGTTAGGCGCAAGGAAGCCCATTCAATCACAATAATCATCTCTGCCCGCGCAGGTACCAATTTACTCCTGGGTGGAGAGAAGCAATGAGTGACAAAGTACCTTGCCCAAGGGCACACGCACCATGGCCCCAGGCTGGACCCGAACACACAACCGGCAGCTTTACCCACAGACCGTGAATCCAGTGCCTTTAAACCACGAGGCCACCTTTTATGAAAATGTCTTCTGGGATTACTACTTTCATCTTTCTTTCCAATCATCATTCTTTTTTTTTTATCAGGTGTCTGGGGTGCTGTGAGTGGCTTGTCACCAGTGGCAGGAATCTTCGTGGCTGCGGCATCTCTTGGTCTGTGGGTGGACTTCTACAGAATCCCCTCCTCAGCATTGCCCGTGTCTCCCAGTGACCGAGCGTGGGTGGGAGCCTGGTGGCTGGGCTACCTCCTTGCTGCCGTCTTGTACATGTTACCAGCGTTGCCTTTCTTTGGATTTCCCAAATTGATGAGACACTCCCGTACCTACGTGGACGGCAGGGAACTTGTCAATGGAGATGAAGGTGACCGAGAAAACGAGAGTAGGACACAGTTCCCCAAAAGAAAGACGCTAAGAGGTAATGACAACATTTTGTTTATTTTACAGTGACCAAACATGGTTAGGCCAAAAAAGTATCCGGTTTCTGGTATGGAGCTTGCCCAAAAAGTGGTGCGTGCGCATACCAGAAACCGGAGACTTTTTTTGGCCTTAATGATGCAGAAGCTTGCAGCTATGGTGTTCCCATGTTTGCACTGATTACAGCTTTGAACTCCTGATGATCCATGGCAAGTAAATAACCGTCCAAGCAAAATTAGTTGATTATGGACCATCCTCACTGTACACCATGGAAACTACATGTATACAATTAAATTAAAAATAAAATAAAAAAAACCCTCGAAACAACTGAATCCAAGGTTTTTTCTTTCTCAACACGCCCAGCATTTTATTTGGAAAAAACCCAGTAATTTTGTTGGAGACATAGTGATAACTAGTGGTCAAAATATTAAGCTCAGGGGCCATTCAGAATTTTCAGTGTTTTAAAATTTCGATCGTTTTATGGCACTAACAAGTTTGAGGTCGGCAATTTCGTCTTTAAAAATCTTGGTACGTCGGGTTACCGTACACACGATTGTCCTGGAAACAACAGTACCAAAGTACAGAAAGTCGTACGCAAGACCCCCCTAGCATTAGGCCTATGATTCCACGACGCCATTAGGCCTATGATTCCAAAATTTCTCACTGTGTCACACAGTGAAATCACTAAAAAGCGTCGTTGTATTGTGGACACATAAAAGCATTCAAGTCGCGTTCTTGCACACTTTGTGCAAGTTGACTGGATATCCTTGAGCCACTGCCCCTGCTTTGTATAACAAGTGCACATGAATGAACGATTCGACTTTTATTCAAAGAAATTTCTATGTACAGTCACCAGACTCTATTCAGTAAAGTCCCCGTCAAAACGAAAGTGAACAATCCACGTGCATAACGCACGGCTACACCATCGTACACTCTAAAAAATAGTTGCTCAATATTGGGTAAAATTACTACCTTTTCGAGAGTAAAAAGGGAACATGGTCGTCAACTTGTGTACTTTTTTTTACACAACAGCTAAAGTGCAGAAAAGTACCCATTTCAGTGTAACTTATACCCATAATTGTGTTACGTGTTTGCACAACAAATTGGGTAAAAAAGTTTACCCATGTGACGACCATGTTCCCTTTTTACTCAATTATTGGGTAAACTTTACCCAACCCTCCTTTTACCCAAGTGTTGTGTCAGTTTCTTACCCAGATATTGGGTTCTAATTTTTACCATGCACTGTTGGGTTCTAAATTTACCCATCACTTGGGTTGTTTTTGAATTAGTTGTTGTGTACCTTTGTTATTGATCCTTGCGGTTTTATTCAACTTTGAACTCTGTAATGTGGATTGCCTGCTAGAGACAGCACTCGCCAGGGATTTTCAATAACTGAGTCCTGGGTTGGAAAGTCAGTAAAATGAATAAGATGATATTCCCCAAATATGGTGCTGATGCATAAGAACTATTACGAGGAACGTGGGCTAAATGATGGGCAGGGGTGCTATAGAATTTCCCTCAATCAACTCATTCAAAAACAATTTCCCAAATGTCAGTCACTTAATCGTGTTTCTAGATCTGAGAACACTCACTATACGGTACATGAAACGTATGCATCATGTGCATGGAATCGTGGTTGGCAGAGCCGTGATGTCCAAGTTGCACATAAATGTCCAAAAAATAAGCATGTTACTTCTCTAATCTCCCTGATATTAATCCTCATACATCAGCATCCCATTTGGAGGAAACAACACTGAAATTCATTTCAATGACTTACCTGGAACAAAGAAATCACGTCATCAAAATCCCCAAATTGTTGAAGGTCTCACAAGCGGCGGCCATTTTGTACATGAGTGATGACGCGTGCACAATATTGGGTAAACGTTGTCACGTGCGTCAGTTTACCCCACACAGTGGTAACATTTTACTAATGTCATGGTAAATTCTACTCTTCAACGTGTACAATGAAATAATTGTTACACAGCCGTGGGGTAAATCCAGTTTCTTTAACCCATCACTTGGGTAATAACACCATGATTTGAACTCTTTGCCTGTGCTGCAGGGACTTGTAGTCAATGTTGGGTACTATTTTACCCTTTTCATGTGTAACACATTTGACACAAGTAGGAGGTACAAGCGAAATTTTCATTTTGCTCAATATTGGGCAGAAATGACACAATTTTTTTACACAACAGTTTTACACAACAAAATGAAAAAGTTTTCAACAAAATGAAAAAGTTTTTTTTTCAATGAAAGATGATGTCTCAAAACCGCCAAACTCACTGGTTTGACTGGAATCCTGCTGCTGCACAATTTTAACGTGTTTTTAGATGGGGTTATGATCGAGAATAAGCTTTATGTGGCCTCTCTGGACTCCCATATATTTGCACTAAGTTTAGTCAGACACCATTTGCAGTCATCAGCCGACATTTGAAGCAAAAAAGTCAGGTAAAAAAAAAATAAGCCGCGTCGCCGCACCACTTTTTGGCAAGCTACATACCAGAAACCGGAGACTTGTTTGCCCTAAGGGGCATAAGAACTCGCTTGCGTACACCCATGTTTGTTTTACTCGGTATAAAAATAACTTAACTTCAACTGTAAAAACTCCTTCAACCCCACATTTTTCCTTAAATGTGTCTCTTCATTCTGCGACAGATAACCCTAACCCGAAAATGCCTCTAAACCTGTTTTCCAGAGAGGGCGAAACGTATTGTGGACACGGCTTAGTCCACATAACGTCAACACAACCTGCATTATGTGGACATCTTTTTGTTCTGTAACACAAACTCAAACCTACGGGAATGAAGGTGCGCGCGTCATGCAACTTTTGACCCACGCACTAGAAAAATGGTGCCCTCTATGCAGATTCTTTTGATATCTATGCCTCCATGCTGGACCGAGTGTCAGTACGCGCTGGCTATTTTTAATGTTCGTTAGCTGAACTCGGTAGTCACTTTGTTTTACTTTCGGTTCCAATGACAACCTCGTTTCCATGGGTACGATCTTGCTGCACCATGTTGGTTCCCATAATATCTCGCGCGATCTTAAAGTTAGTGAAGGAATGCGCACGCGCCCATGGAGTCGAGGCTGCTCCAATGGTTTCAATGCTACTCCGTGGGCAGTGGGCGTGGTTTAAGTTTCTATTACGTCACACACACGAACCATACGGAGAGATCCGTGTGTACATGACCTACCTTGTGCACAGAGTTGCGCTTCCTCCTGTTCATGTTGTGCTGTAAGGCCAAAAAAATACTCGGTCTCTGGTCAGCGCATGCGTCGATTTTAATCATGCGCGTCGACCTTTTTTCCCCTTCAAATTAACACGGAAGCTACAACAGCGCCCTCTATTGTCGCGCCTCCACAAATGTTTGTACCAAGGAGCACCAAGGAATGGGGAAATTGCACCAAGGCAAATGATAAAGGGCACCAAGGCAAATTATGGAGGACACCAATGTATAATGAGGACACACCTTGTCTGTACAATACAAGCTTGAAAAAAAAAAGCCACCAAAAAAAAAAAAACCCGCGTCGCCGCATCAATTCCAGAACTTCGGTCTGACCAGAGACCGACTATTTTTGTGTGTGCCTTATACAGTAGCGGAATATTCAAACAACTCTGAGAACGATAAAGCTCATGTACTCAATAATATGTATTAATAAAAAGAGCATGTTCGGGCATAGAAAATGACAACTCGACCGAAGGATGTTTGGACCATACATGGGGCACGGTTGCACATCGCTGGATACCAATACCTGCGCGCATACATAAAGCATAACGGCGAACTCCGTCTTTGACCATTGTTTGACTAGAGGCGTTCCCGCGTTACTAGGTGTAAGTTACATCAAATATAAACCACTAGTCGACTAAAACTCCTCGCTCGAACTTGCTCATACATGAACTTCTGAAAAGCGTCACATGAACACCTCTAAGCAAATGAAATTTACCACCTGTAATACCATGCAACTTTTTCATCCGCCCACTTCTTTGACATATTATTTCGTGATAATAATATCCCCAAACAGGTACTTTGTTGACGTTGTGGAAGGTGTTGAAAAACCGTGACTGCATGCTGACGTGCCTGTCGCAAGCTGGGGCGGTCCTCATTGTGTATGGATATGGTCTCTTTGTTCCTAAGTACCTGGAGGTTCAGTTCGAGGTGGAAACCCGACTTGCCGACCTTCTGACAGGTACGAAGGCAACGTTTACAGACGCTTTTAGATCTTGGGAAACTATGGGGTTGTGGAAGGCCTCTTCACCAGTGGCGTAGCCACGGGGGGGGGGGGGGGGGTGGGCGTGGGGGGCGGGGGCGACAGCCCCCCCATGAAAACTTGTCGTCCCCCCCCCCCCCCACTGAGATTTTGAGTTTCTAAAAAATTATCACTGTGCTTCACCCAAAGTACTTACGTCCGAAATGCCGACTTTTTAGACCCACCTCCCCCGTACGCATGACATTTGAAGTGGTTCCAACCACCCTTCCCCTCTACGGATAGGCCCTACGCATTTCATATTTCTTTTTGATGTTTCAGACAACCCTTTTCCATAGCATCATAATGTCACAGTAAACCTGCTGTATAGTAGTATGATTCGCATGTCGCACCCAAGTCGGAAATATATGACAAAATGTAACGGCATGGTCTTTGATGTTAATGACCTTTGTAGGCGTTGGCTGGCGGTCATTCTAAATTTAATATTGATCTTATTTGTTACTGCTGAATTTGGTACATTAGTTAAGGTAGATTTTAAATATAGGTAATCGTGCTGTGTGTCCCTAAACCTGTGAGTAGCAACTCATATTGTATCGAAAGTCAAACATAACACAATAAACTTTGAGAGGTCTGGAAATTTATGAACCTGCCTTGTCTGTTGTTATAGGCCATCAGCTGAAACTCAAAAACCGGCTGTAAAATGAGTTTCGTTCCAGCAACACTGGGTCTACTTTTTTAATGCACATATGTGGGGTTCAGTACATCACAAACACTATGTCAAAAGTTCTCCAGCAAATATGCTGCAGTTTTTTTTTTACACTTCTTCAAACTTTGCCAATGTTATGTACATGTACATGTACATGTACATGTATGTATGCTAAAAACCCACATTTTCCGGTTTGAGGCCTTGCGTTGGCACTTCCAATTTCAAAACTACGCACGTACAGCACTATAGCTTGTCACATCCTACACTCTAGAAACTCCTGGGTCAGACTCAGTCTGCTCAGTCCTTTTCCGGGTCAAAAATTGACCCCTTTTGGAGTCATAAATGACCCCTTTGGAGTAAAAAAAAAGACATGTTTCTCGGTCATTTTGACTAAATGTGTATTTTTTTTACCCAGAAAAGGACTGAGCAAATTTGGATTCAGATTTTCCGGGTCAAAAATTGACCCCTTTTGGAGTCATAAATGACCCCTTTGGAGTAAAAAAAAGACATGTTTCTCGGTCATTTTGACTAAATGTGTATTTTTTTTACCCAGAAAAGGACTGAGCAAATTTGGATTCAGATTCTGGGTCAATCTGACCCAGGAGATTTTAGAGTTAAAAAATATCTTTTATGTACATTGGCAATTGGGTCACACAGAACATGACCTTTTGTTTTCTCATCTGGTAGATATCACCACAGTCCCTCTTCCAAAAAATATTTCACTGTAATCTAACTTATTTGGCAGCATATAACAATGCAATTATTTTGAAGGTTTATCATGCAGTGGTGGAACAAGCTCATCATTAATGAAAGTGAGGGGGTGCCCAAAATGAGGTGTCTTTAGAGTAAATAAATACCGGTACATGTAACCAGCAGAAGAAACAGGAAAGCAGACAAGACATGTCCCTTTAAACAAAGCAAACTAACGCATATTAAAAAAAAAAAAAAAAAAATGGGTGCTATGCCCCCCAAACCCTCTGGATCTGCTGTGGTGAACCAGGTACGTCACCTAAAGAACCTTCTAATTGTAAGAAAGACCACCCTTTTTTGGAATGAAACAGGCTTTAAATACAATTATAAATCAAAGGACCATCAGATAGAAGTCAGAGTCTGGTTTAATAATTTCAAAAATCAACCATTGTACATTTATTTGCTACCTAATCAAAACAGCCATCTTGGTTAGGAGAAAAGCCTGAAGATCAGTCTTTTGTCAAAGAAAATTTCAGCTTTTCATTTATTGATACATTGATTAGCACCGAAAAATGTTTGCATGTATATCAATAAAAAAGAAAACAAAACCGTAACTCATGCTATTTTGTATGCTTACACATTAAAGAGAGTGATTTGGCTTGTCATATGTGGCTAGTCTCACTGTTAAAATTCACAGAATTTGCCTTTTTTACTGGAACTAATTTTTAATAATTGAAAAGAATTAAAATGAATAAAACCAACACTAATGAACAGAAGGATACAATTATGTAGTTTTGAAATCTAGAGTTACTCATTATTTTCATTATAATGTCAAATGCTAACTAGTCGTGCTGATACAACTTCAAGTAAATGTTATCACTACATCAAAGTTCTCATCCAATCTTGTGCACCCTTTTTTACTGGGTTTTTCAAATAAGATCTATTTGTCATTGAAGACATTTTTCTTCATTGACTTAAGAGAATTTTTCTAAAAGGAAAGTAAAGTCCAAGAACCATTCGGTAAACAAGTGACGTACCCAACAGTCCAATAGCCAGGAATCTGTTATCATTTTGAATGGTATCTTTTGCAAGAAAATAAAATTTTCCTATGCATTTTTAGTTGACGCCATCCAAATCGATGCGGTTCTGTGCATTCACGGTGCATCGTGGTGACCACCAGCTTTGTTTTCGCATTGCGTTTTTATCGTTGTGTCACCCCAGTTTCCCTCAAAGAAATTAAAACCTAACCTTACCCTTAATTCAAGACAATTAAACCCAAACATGGATTTTTTGGTTCTTTTTTGGGGGCACATAGATACACAATCGACTTCATTATAATGACATGTAGGCCTACCTCCAACGGAAGTTCTGCTTGTTGTACTGTTGCAGCTTGTCCTTGAATAGAGGTTTTCATCGAAATCAAAATCCTGGTTGAGTTTGTGTGCAGCATGACACAGTTATGTAGATAGGCAATTAAAAGAAACTTGAACTTTGCCCGGAGCTTTTTCGATGAAGAAATCTGGGTCTCAGCTGAAGTGTCTGGTTTGCGTTTTCTCGGAGCACCGAGACGTTTACTATCTATAAAAACCGCCACGGGTGAGATCGGCCGGCCGGACTGCCTTGTTTACCATGTTTACATGCGCCGGTAGTGCATGATGTAGTAGTAGTACTGTAGGGTGCACTGAACTAATTCAAGCGAGAATTTCTACGCCAGCTGATTAGCATAAAAAGTGCCCCCACAATTTCTTTTGAAAACGGAGACCGTTTGGCTTTAAAAACGGTGGAATTGTTTAAATATACCCAAGGATCAACTCCCTGGTTTTGGGGCTTCCATCTGAGGGCAGGCTTGATAAAATCACGGATGGAAAAATGGGTCCTATTTGCCTGTGAAAGTGGAAGGGTGCCACTCTTCAAATGGCTACATTCAGGCTTGGGAACTATCACTTTTCGGGAGGTGATTTTATTTGGGTGTGAATATTTAAAAATGTAATTGGCTAATGTACGTAAAATTGAAAAGAAATGAAAAGATGAAATACAAGACAATAATTTAATTTTTGTTTCAGAAACCCCAGTGATGTTGGCTTGCATGTTACTTGGCCCTGAACTTTGTTGATTTTACACTGTTTTCAATGGGGCTTGAATTAGTACAGTGGACCCTGTACAGTACGATACAGTCATAGCAGATCCACTGCTCACACATCGTGGGTATATTCGGCGATGCCATTGTGAAATTCAGCCACTCTTTGGCACAGGAAATGAACTTACTATCACCGGACATCAGATCCTTCGCATTTCCCCCCTCAAACGTGACAGATTATGAGTGCAAACACTTCTTTTTTGTACCGGTCGATGTTTACGTTGTTGTTGACGCACTTTTGCCAATGGACGCCGCCATGTTTGTTAAAATGTCATGACCTGCGACCTCATATCTGGTGTCTAATTGGACAGTTCACGTCACGTGGTACGATGCGTCATACGCGGCGGAGTTTTTAACGTAGGCGCGGTACGTTTTTGAACGTTCACAATGGACAAATAGTTCGCTTTTTCGAGTCAAATTATCAAAAAACTGCTGGACGAAATGTGGAGAACTTTTGTAGTATCATTCTTTGGTAGTGTATTTCGGTCGAACTGTTAAAAAAATTTAGACCCACGATTGCTGGAGCGAAACGAACGAATTTTCCAGTCCAGCTGACGGCCTATTACCAAAACACAGCTCATTTTACAAGTACCCTACCATATGTCATGACATTACACTTTGCCTATCGAAAGCTAACAGAAATGTCCTGTAAAGAACATACAGTCGTCCAAAGCGATTTGGGTTTCTTTTCTATCATGCATGACCCCTTTAGTTTGTTATTACCGAAAATGAAATAACTATTGTGATATGAAGTTACATTACTCATGGTATATGAAACCCAGTAAGCAACTAACCACCTGTGTCGTCAGGGGCAGAGAAATATTGAGAATATATCAGGGAAATATTGAGAAACATACTTGGTTGAAAGATAGTAAGGGAACTTAACTCCCTGTGAAGGTATTCTTTCTGGCATGGGGTCATTTTGAAGACATCAACGAAAGAAGGCCTTTCAACGATGCGTCTTTAGAGGCATCGTTTGATATTTCCGTTAGTAGTTCGTTTGTTTTATTAAGCCCGGTTCATACTTCATGCGAATGCGAATGCGAAGCGAATTTGACGTCATGAAACATTGGCTGCGAAATTTGCCCGAGTTGAAATGTGTTCAACTTTTACGAATTCGCACTGCGAATAGTCTCCATGACGCCACAAATTCGTGTTCGCTTTCGCTTTCGCGTCGAGTATGAACCTAGCCTTGTTCAATGCGGTCTCTCGGCTTTTTGTCGAAGGGAGATAATCGGGCCCTGCACCCACAATCAACGCGGCTACGTGCGTGTACCGCCGACCCTTGTCCGTTCGAACGGTTCGGTACTAACACAACCAGCAAGCACACACACGTGAGTACGGACTGTACGCATGGTGTATTAAGGCAGTAAATGGTAGGCCTACTGTGTTCTGCGTGTGGGTGTACGTACGTACGTGTGGGGTACGCGCCGCGTGGCCTGTCGAACGACCGCCTTGTTGGGTCTGCAACTTCCGGGTTTAATGTCTTTCTTTACCTTTTCGTCCAGTTTTGGAAAAAAATGGGCGGGCTTCAGGATATGCGGATATGCCGTGATAATTATGTAGGTTCGTCTTGGACCAATCACATGAAACAACCTTCCCAATAGTATGATTAATTCATTTTTAAGCTGACCAATTGTAAGCTTCACAAAAATCAGGTGACGTCGCGCGGCATGCATAATGCATTAGCCATCATGGCGTCTTCCATGTCTTTTTAGCGAGAGCGAAATGTTCGTCACTTTTTCAACAATTTGACATTGATTCGAGTTTTTCGGCTCGTGTAATGAATCCATTTGAGTGGGCAACGATCGTCTAATGACAGCATTACCTGCATAATTCGTTGGTGCCTTCAATACTGCTTCGGACAGACTGGGACTGAACGACTTTCACCCACAGCAACGGGCCGCCATTGCAGCGTTTCTTCGCGGATGCGACGTGTTTGTTAGCCTATCGCGGGCTGACCAATGAGAATTCAGTATATACGCGGGGGTGGTACCTCATTACCGTAATAGGTTTTGCTGGGTCAACTCAAAACCATCAAGGCGTTGGGTTACGCGGACTAGCTCATGCATGTACATGTACATGTACATGTACTGTGTGTGCATGGCTGTTGTACGAGTACGTGTGTGTACGTGCGTACGTACGTACAAGCATAGCCTCTCGCTGTACAAGTTACTTTCTCACTAGCAGCGTACGGACATCGATATGTCACGCAATTATGCCTTGCCAAGTTGATTAGGGATTTTCTTATAGGCGATTTTTTTTATCGGCGAATCGATAAGCCCAACGCCTTGGTCAAGGCTAGTATGAACCGGGCTTCAGCACAGATATAGAACTTAAAATAACTAGATCGGACGCGCGTTCGAACGCGCCATTCACTGTGCACAAAACTTTTGGGTTCTTCATGGACGCGCTGCAAAGTCACGTGAATAGGGCCACGCGCAAAGGGCAGCTGCTAAATGTTGGACGAAAAATGTCGCCAACACCTGAATTCAGCTATTCGTTGAAGTTCTTAACAACAGGTTGACATTTTACAATTTTTGACATTTCACATTCCTTTGAAAATTTACACATGGGTTTGCACCTAGCCCCTGTGTCTTATCTGGGGCCAAATTGGCGACTGTGTTGAAGGTAATTGATTTGCAGCCAATAATTCTAATTTGTACCGAAAAGTAGCCACATTGTGCTCTAATATCTTTACAAAGGCAAATGTCAAAAGCATAGTTAAATGTCAACCCGTTTAATGAGATTTTTCCCTCCTCTTTCAAAATGTGCAATAAATATCAACCGCTACTTGCCTATCAGACAAAACTTAAACTTCTAGTTTTACCACATCAAAATGAAATAACAGAAAATAATTTGTAAATGAGCAACAATACAAACACGCACTCGAAGTATTACCTTGCTTTAATACTGCAAGCCTCAACAAGAACATTAAATTTGAAACGAATGGATGACTACAAAAACAAGTCTCTTGCCAGTAAACTTTTAGATAATAAACAATGAAAAATTACTCGTTAGCTAATAAATACACTGATGAAATGGCAGTTCCACATATCCATAGCCATTAATCAAGATGTCTAGAATATCATGGCTCATGAAAAAAAAAATACATTTGGTTGACACCATCCGCATATTCATGTGAAGGTCTAGCCTATGCAACTACCAGCAGGTGAGTATTGCTTCCCATAAATTTATGAAACGCTGGCCGTAAATAAGGCTTCAGAAAGCTGTTTTAGGAAGTAAAAGACCTACTACTTACATCGATCTAGGTAGTGTTTAAAAAAAGAAAAAAAAAGAAAAGGCTTTCGATGCATTTTGACGATTTTATTTCACGGACAAATCAACTAAAAGAAATACGTAATGAAGTTTCCTTTTTTTGTCGACAACGACAACAGTCTCACAGATTTTGAGGTAATCAAAGGACAGAATGAACCTTCATCTACAAAAATTATCGTGGACGTGATGTAAATATCTTAAGAAAGCCATGTAGGCGTACACCTGAAGTTTCCAACCACCTCCAGTTTTTACAACGCGAAAGATAAGGCAAAAAAAAAAAAAAAAAGGCGGTCTCTGGTCAGCGCGCGCGTCGATTTTAATCATGCGCGTCGATCTTTTTTTTTCTCCAAAATGTTCCGCAGTAGCTCCAACAGCGCCCTCTATTTCCGCACCTCCTCATTTTTTTTTTTACCAAAGAGCACCAAGGAATGAGAAATTGCACCAAGGCAAATGATCGAAAGCACCAAGGCAAATTATGGAGGACACCAATGTACACGAGGACACCAAAAAAGCAAAATAGTACCCACCTTGTCTGTACAATCCAAGCTTGAAGAAAGAAAGAAAAAAAAAAAAAAAAAAAAAAGCCGTGTGGCCGCGTTTATTCCGGAACTTTGGTCTGACCAGAGAACGAATATTTTTTTTGGCCTAATCGCCATTGTTTAAACGGTATGACCTTGTGACCCCAATAAAGATGTACGCCCACTGATTGGTCGAGCTTCAGATGGCCTGCTTAATATTCATAAGCATTCATTGCATCAGTTCGCGCGCGCGTGCTTTTCACAATTTTTTTAGGCAACGTACGTATACATGTACGTGAGCATTACAGTTTACACGCAAATCGATGAAATCTCGCAAAAGTCTTCAGTTTTCAACCGGCGATTCGGACCGATAATATAAAAGGCTCCTGCACGTGTCTAACATAAAAACAAAGCGTACACTATACTCTACCTACTGAAACTTGCCATTTCTTTTGGTCTTTTGTAAGAATCGAATGTACACCCAAAAACAATCGGCCCTCGCTTTTGTTGCTGTAAAGTATGATTTTTGTTTGACGCGCCGTAACAACACTTCAATTTTGTCAAAAGCAGTTATATTTTGTATCAAAATAAAGCACATGATTTCAACTTTTCACTAACATCTCCATCTTGGCCGATAGCGGTACATCCGAGTAGTTGTCGGTGTTTTTCTGTAATGTCGAATGCAGTGTCGTAAAATCTCGCGTAGGCTTTCGAGACCATGCGTGCGTGATCTCGGGACAAGAAACTGAGGTCAAACAGGGCTCTGCGCGTGACATGGCAATTTAAAACGTGTTTCAGCAACTTTTGATTTGAAATCGAGATCCTAGAATGTTGTTTTTCAAGAAATGTACAGCTGAAGCTGAGCTGAAACTTCATCATGTTAGTGGTTCATCACCCTTTTTTAATTTGAGCAAATTGCAAATGATGGACTTTACATTTAGCGGGCTCATTATTTACGGGTCAGTGCACACCCCGGTGTCATCACAAGGGCCCTGCTGGCCAGCATGATTAAGCAACTTTTGATTTGAAATCGAGATCATAGAATGTTGTTTTTCAAGAAAAATACAGCTGAAGCTCAGCTGAAACTTCATCATGTTAGTTGTTCATCACCCTTTTTTAATTTAAGCAAATTACAAATGATGGACTTTTCATTTAGCGCGCTCATTATTTACGGGTCAGTGCACACAGCCCGGTGTCACCACAAGCGCCCTGCTGGCCAGCAGTGCCCACAGTAGAGTCTCTGCAGAGCAAGAGCTTCATTAATATATAACTGCAAACATTAAATACACATTTTGTCTGAGTGAACCCGGCACATTCGGCCCACCCTGGAGCAAAGGTCACTCAGACTTGTTTAAACACAGTTACGAATGTGTTCATATACATTATGATCTTGTTCATTTTCTTAACCCTTCTTTTAGTTGCTTTTTATCGCTTCAAAAGAAACCTAAGGATAATACAGTAGTTGCAATATCTAGTCAACTTTTATCAAGTTTGTCTTCTTCTTTTTGTAATGTAATGTTAACTGTTTCAACGGAATGGACTTTATTTACATTTTAATGTTTTTATTGTAAGTATATTCCCGCAATTCGGCGTATGGCCTCGATAGAATATTAATAAACAATTCAATTCAAATCTTTAGCTGAAAAATGTCGCGGTTTACCGCGCGGTACGGCCCGTTTTATTCTGAATTTGCCCCTTATTTTGTACATACGTTCTTTAATGGTTCTGGAATAAATGACGTAATTAATTGAGCATTCATCTATCATGAGAAGTGGTGTCATGACACTTAACTTTTAAACACTTAAAAACATCAGCGTTTAAATGATAAACACGATGTTTAGCGGTTCTAAAAAGGACCGTTCACGTGCCGGACAATGTAATGGAAACTTTATAATTGTTTTCCTGAAAGTCAAGTTTCGGTTGTAAGCAGCCGCAAAACTCCAACTGTCATCACAGACTTTGTTTTTGATACATGGATACACGCATAACGAATCCGGCTCAAAAATGAGCCTGCGCGTTTTACTGCGTCTCTAGCCTCAAACGCGTTAAAATGCTCATAATCACTTGCAAAAAAAAAATCCAGTTTATAATGAGTTCGATAGTTAAATACTGGATTTCACAGTGCAGGTATCATGTTTCAAAAGTTCAAACGACGAAACCCCGTTTGTTTCCCAACATTTTAATTACTTATTTTCCTTCTATCCATCAACCATCAGGTTGTCTTCTAGCTCCTGCATACGCCATCGGTTACATGCTGGCTGGTTCCCTGGTCAAACGATTTAATATTCAATACCGAGGCCTAGTATCCCTCTCGTGCGTCGCACTGGCTCTCTGCGTCGCTGGCTTCACGGCGAATTTGTTCATTGGCTGCTCTAATAGGAATGTTGCCGGTGTCTTCACGCCAAACAAAGGACAAAGGTATGCTTGCCGACACAAAATCGTTTGGGTATAAAACTATGAGTGTTGTTTGCATGTGCACTATGGTCAGTGATCGACAAATTTAGTACGGTGTTGTCATGTCTACAAGTATTAAAAAGGTACACGATTCTTGTTTTTTTTCTTCAGCCACCTTGATTTAAGGGCGCCCTGCAACTCGGACTGCGCATGCTCTTTGTCTGTGTACTCACCTGTATGCGATGGCCATGGAACCACCTATTTCTCAGCGTGTCACGCAGGATGTAAACTCGTCACTGAGCAGGTGCGTATGCGTCACAACCTCGGTCCCATGGTGTCGAGCGGCACGCTTCCCTTATTTGTTCTCGTACACTGGTATTGGATCATTGCCTGTTCGAAAATCGTGCACATGTAGTTTAGGTACATAGTCTAGTGCCTGCCCATTCTTTGCACGATACATGATATAAATCCATTACTTGCTATTGCGGTATCAAATAAGAATATAGGAAGTACGTTTCCCATCCAGGGGTTACATTGGAAACGAGGTTGAAAACAAAGTAAGCAAGGGAAAACAAAGTAAGCCCGGGGCGACGTTGCGTAAGCTTTGTTGACATGTGAGCTTTCCTATGGAAGCGCGGTGGGGACGAAAAATAAAAAAAGAACATATGTAAACAAAGCGTGACGTCATTATGTCTTAGGTCTGTTACACCCCAACTGTGGCAATTGTGCCAACTATGGCTCATACATAGATGGGTGCTCCCAACTATAGTTTGGCAAATGTTATACATGCCTAACTGTATGGTCAAACTATAGTATACAACTATAACATGGTTTGAGGGTGGACAGTCAATATTCGCTCCCCGAGGTAATGGACGTTGACAAAGTTCCACGATTGCTTTGTAAAGCGCATGCGTAGTACGACTGTCTACTACGCGTGCGTATTTACCCTGTGCGTGAATCCTCGCGCGCGCGCTTGGTAAATAGCAAAAATAACATCTAGAACGTGATGGTGAATTGACCGGTGACAGTTCGGCCATGAATATGTATGAGGTATAGTAATTAGGATTACCCAACTGTTGATGAGCCATAGTTGGTGCACGCAGTGGCACAGTTCGGGTGTAACAGGTCTATTTGATGAATACGCTAGCTGTTGTGGATAAAAAATAAGTTGCCGGCGTCACTTATAATTCGCTGATAAATTTCATTGATTTTTTAAAAACCACTTTTGGATACGCCAAAGCAAGGATTTACGTTCATGACTGTCATTAATCGAATTCCCATTCACCCGAAGGAATATGGAGATTGTTCATGCTCAGCCGCTGGACCAACCAACACAACTATGGACCCCCACACATCTGGCACACTTCTGACCGTTGAGGGCGCTTGTGACAGTCACTGCATGTCCAGTGCACTATACCTGGCTGTGCTGACCACTGTTTTCTTGCTTGCTCAATTTGCTCAGCTCATGCGTTTGAATGTCGTCATTCGGTAACTATTTTCCACTTGCTGTAGGTGGGCGCGGACGTCCGGGGATTTTTTTTACATTGGCTCATGTACGTAGCTCCCAGACCGTTATTTTTTTGAAACTCAATAATATTGTTCTTGAGTCTGGAGTGATGAATGGTTTAATACAACCGATGAAAACTGCAGTGCAAATGAATAGATGTTTTCATCAGATGACGTCAGCGCGCCCACCTATAACTTTCTACTTCTTTAAGCGAAAGCTCATCAGGCAGGGCTCCTTTCGAATTGTTTTGTTCAAATTTCTTATCCAATAATTTAGCAAAGGGAAGCCTTAATGCAGATCCATTTCGTGTTCTTTTTAGCTGACCTTTTTAATCCGTTAACGTTTTTTGACTTTTCCTCAAAAATGCGGAAAAGCCTTTCTAGTTCTGATTTTCTTTCTCCTACTTCTTCTTCTTCTACTTCTTATTCTCCTTCTTCTACTTCTTATTCTCCTTCTTCTACTCCTTCTACTTCTACTACTTCTACATAATACCGTCTTCTTTTTGTTCTATCCCAAATCCCATAGACTTTATGAGTTTTGTAACATCAACTTTGGGCATTCATTTTTGCCATACATCACTCAAACTTACTATAGGGATAGTCCCTATAGCAAAGTTGTGTCCCAAAGATTGACGTCATGATGACGTCATCGTATGTAATGTGACGTCATCTTAAAGGTGCATTTTTCAATGGCCTAAATCTACAGAACTACAAGGCCGTTTGGGTTCAAACTTGGGGTGTCTGTACACATGCTTGGATGTGTTATAGATGAAAATTGAAGTGAGTCATAATGACGTCAACATATGATTTTTATGGATTTTTGAAGTTCTGAAGGTTATCGCCACATCTCATGAACGCAAAATGATAAATTCAAATTCCTTTTTGTGAAGGGTTTGTAATGTCATATATATTCGCACAAAAATGTGACGTCAGGATGACGTCATCAAAAATGCAATTTTTAAAATCACACAAGGAAAAATCCGATCGTCTTGAAACTTGGTGGGCAGGTAGATACTGTTAGTAGTACGCAACAGCTGAAGTGACGTTATGATGACGTCTTCACCTGATTATTTTATATTAATTTTTAACTTTTTACGTTTCCTTCTTATAGCAAAAGGTGACATAAAATGCGCTCAGATTGACTTCAAATTAAGCACAGACATAGTCCCGAAGGTTGTGTTGGCCCTAGACAAGTGATGTCATGTGACGTCACCCTAAAGGTCTATATTTAGTTTTGTTATATATAGAGAACTGTTTGTCCGATTTTGGTTGGGACCTGATGGTATGTACACAAACAGGGACTGTTACAGACCAAAATATGAGTGACGCCATGATGACGTCATCTTGGGTGATGAGACGTCATCTTAAAGGTTGATATTTTAAAGTCCAATATCTGGAGAACTTCAATGAAAGTTAAATAAGTCATATGGAACTATGTTCTTGCATATAATTTACCGGATTGCATAAGGCAGAAAGCAAAACATAAATTCATAAAAAAAACTATAATGCTGAAAGCCCTATGCTCTGTTCGTTGAACAGACAGAGCTCTAGTTTTTCTTTTTTCCTCTTCCTTTTTCAGACTCCTCTCCATAGGTTTTGTACACGTAATTTCTTCTGCCAATACACTTTGGCACTTTTGTCTATCCAATCGACTTAAGACTGGGCATACAGCTTAGACCACCACCTAAAGGTGGTCCTAGAAGATGACGTCATCAGTCAAGTTACGTCACATTAAAGGTGTCTTTTTTTCTCCATAAGGTTTGTACACGTTTTTCTTCAACCAGTGCACTTTGGCACTTTCGTAAGTCTAATCGACCTCAGACGTCGTACCCACATAGGGCACATACATCCACAATGATTTGTGTCATCATGACGTCAATACATCACAATAAAGTGCATTTTTCAAAGCCTAATTTTTAAAGTACTAATCCGATTTGGTTGAATCTCATTATAGGTACTAACATAGTGCCATGTTATGGATGAACATTTAAGTGACACCATTAAGATGTCATCTCAACTACTATGACGTCACATTAAATTGGCACTGTGCTAAGGCCTGTATCTAAAGAACTACATGTTCGATTTGGTTGTAACTTGATATGTACATATACCGGGATGTCCCAAACAGACTGTGTTTGGCCACAAACACATTTCTAGGTATACACCGAAACAGCTCTTTTGCGTTAAGATTTTGTTTTTCCCTCTTTTTTCAATCTTGCTCTCTTATTTTGTACACGTTTTTCTTCAACAAGTACACTTTTACACTTTCATAAATCTGATCGACCTCAGACTTGGCACATACAAAGACAATCATCCACCGATGGTTCTAGCAGATTTCCGTCATCATATCGTCATCAAGTGTCAGGTTACGTTACAATACGCGGTTACGTTACGCGTTTTTCTTTAACCAGTACACTAAGACACTTTCTTAAATTTGATCAACTGGGACTTAGCATATATACTTAGGCAATTATCTACAGATAGTCCTATAACATTTTTGTAATCATGACGTCATCAGGTGTCAAGTTACATAATATTAAATGTGCATATCTTAAAGCCTTATATCTTCGGAAGAGCCAGTCCGATTGGATTGAAAATGTGTGGGTATATATAGACAGGGATGTGTTAAAGATGAACATTTAAATGACGTCATGATGACGTCATTACAAGTCATGTAACGTCATGTTAGAGCTGTATTTTTTTAATTTCTGTATGAACAGTACCATAGGTCCAATTTCGTTGTAACTTGATATGTACCTATATCGGGATGTATTATAGATCAAAAAGTCAAGTGACGACAGCATGACGTCATTTCATGTTACATTACGTCACATTAAAGGGGCATTCCCTAAGGCCTTTATCTATTGAACTATCGATTACAACTATTTGGTTGTAACTTGGTAAGATGGTAGGAACTGAGACCGGGATGGCTTACATATGAAAAATCGAAGTGACGCCATGATGACGTCATCACAGTCATATGACATCACATTTAAGGGACATTTTGAAACCTGTATGTGAACGCTGACACATTCACACTGATGTACGTCATATGTATTATCAATGAAATGGGAGGTCGTCACTTCGTCATTATATGTCACGTACATTTCAAACATCCGAAACCGCTTTTGTTTGTCTACAAACCCATTTCTAGTTTATTCCTTATTTTTTTTTGTTTAGATGCGTTTCATCAGAAGATAGACCGGTGGCTCTGGGAATCCTAAATGTTGCAGGTCTGATCGGTGAGTATAAAAACATATTATTTTGTTTTGATTAAATGGTTTATTAATATAATTCTTTTTTAAATAAAAACGCATTCTCTTGTCAAGTAGAGTTTCTTCAAAAGTTATCTTGTTTGTGAGAGGGAATAATCGAACCACTCCAACCAGCTTAGATTTTGAATAAGGAGGAAGCGCGGCAGCTCAAAGCGGACGCCATTGCCTGATGCTGGCATGATTAAACCTTTGATCAATACGCTACGTTTATCAAATAAACGGACAGTACCTAAACTTAACACCCTTGCAAACAGTTTGTTAGGTCACACTCTACGGTTGGGCTTACTAGTTACTACACTGGGTATACATCATTTCCCTTATAGCCCCAGTGTGGTGCCCGCTCGGAGCATCATTTTCTAGCTTATTTCGCTCCACTACAGGAGAACAATCTTTTCACCAATTTTCCATCTCGAACTATCCTGAGCTGTCTGTTGCCATGCAATGCCACTATGTGTTGTTAGTCCATCCCTCTATCTTCTGTTTTGTCTCCCTCCTTTCCTGGTTTGGTTTCTTTGAGTCCAATTGGTGGTTTTGCATGTCCACCGGTTGTCACACCTCCTTGCCAGGTGACCCGCCCACCTCCACTTCTTTGATTTTATGGTCTTAATAATATCCTGGACTCTTGATTTCTTTCTCAGATTCTCTTTTGTCACCCGGCCTGTCCTTCTTTATTTTCCTATACTTCCTCCAGTAGGGCATCTAGACTTTAATCAGTGCGCATCGGTCTCCTACATTATTGCAAATATGCAATTCAGTGCCTGTGCTGCGGTTGCGTCCAGATCCCTTATAAGAGCTGGGTCTTCCTTTCGGGTTTGGATCCAGCCCATCATGAGCTGGCAAGCTGCCAGAGAAATCTTTGGCATCCTTTTCCCTAACTCTTTGAGCAGAGTTGGTCGCATTTGGGTCTTGGGCATTGCGACCTCTCATTCGTCTTGTGTCCATCAATGGTATAAAAGGTAGTATAGCCTTCTCACACCGCGCTGGTAGGGCGTGTTGTGGAGCTACACATAACCATATCTTGGTCCTGGTTGGCTCTTGATTTCTTACTGATGGCCTTTGTAGTCATCTTGGTTTAATTCTGACAGAGGTCCATTTGCTCCCCTCCACACGGGCGTCGCTACAGAGGAGAGAGAGAGAGAGAGAGAGAGGGGGGGGGGTGTCACACTCCACATTAGTCAGTTTTGTCGGTAAAATCATGGTGCTGTCGGTTGACAGCTACAGCTGTGCAAAACACAAGCACATGTTCGCTCCGATCGCAGGCAGTTACGACTTGAGCTGATTCTTAGTGACGACTAAAAATCGTGGATCAAGCTAAAGATGGAAAACATCGAAAGAGAGTCAAACTACAGTTTTGATGTGATGTCTGTGATGTAATAAACTTTGACGACCCACCCGCATCTCCCTTAACATGCGCACATTCCAATCAAAAAGTCAAGGGAAAGTGACCAGGAAATGCCTAAGATTGCACCACAGAGCATCTAGAATCCAAAAAAATCCCGGGGGCCTAAGCGGTCCCAGAACCCCTCGCCTTCAGGGCCTGGCACTCTGCGCTCTCATAATAAAAAGTTCAACTTTAGGATTTTAAAGAACCCCCCTCCCCCAGTCTGGGAACAGGGGACGGGCCTGAACAAGGTATGCTCACACGTACTGAGCATGTACACGCAGTTTTGCGACAAGCAAATGTCCAAAACTATTCAATGGGATAGGGCCAAATTTTGACGATTTACTTTTGAAGTTGAAATTATCCCACTGAAAAAAAAAATTAAATCAATTCAAAGTAATCAACTTAAATAACCTTTCATATATTTGAGGAGGAAAGTGGAAATGGAGTTAAAGGGATCATTTTGGACGGAAATTATCGATTTCACTCATTTTGCGTGACGGTCCGTCGGCAAATGTCATAATGGCACCCATTCCCAATGGACTAGCGACGCCCATGCCCCTCCAACCCAGAGAATTAATAACCCTTGTCTCCAACCAAGGGTGGTGAGTGCTTGATTGGTCTGGTGCAGGCATCTAAGCTTGGCTAACATAGGTGTTAAATGCAGTCATGATGCCTGACTTAAACAAGGGTCCAGAGGGGACCGAAGGAGAAAATGAAACGGATAGAATATAGCAAAAGACAGAACACCATGCCACAACCCAAAGTTAAGTATACGCCCTTCCCGTCACCAGGGGATCTGTGTATATGTATCCCTGATGACATCAGTGATATGTCTTGTCCTTTCCAGGGGTCAGGCGCCTCTAACCTTACCTAAGCTTACAGGACGAGTTCTTAACTGATCTGACAAGGCGTTCCTAGAAAGGGATGGGGAGGAAGGGAGGGAGAGGTGGATGATAGAAAGGAAGAAGAACTGCAAAGTAAAGGAAAGGGAAGACAGTTGAGGAAGTAGAGGACGCTTAAACCCTCACTCTGGTGCCGGTGTTGACCAGCCTTTCACCACCCAGCCTCGCACAACATCATTGTGTGGTGCAAGAATACGAGTTGTCAAACCGTAACGAGGGCTCTTATTCGATTTTAGATGTAAAAATGTTTCGCCAGCTGATTCAATAACGATTTTTATTTGTAACCCCATGTTTGTTTTAGCTACTCTCCCGGCTAGTTATGTGTTTGGCGCCCTCATCGACTCCGCCTGCGTGGTATGGCAACAAACGTGCTACGGCCAAGGAGCGTGCCTTCTTTACGACACGGTCTGGTACCGTTTCACCTTCAACGGCGTGGCACTGGGAGTTGGGATCCTATGTCTCGGCTCCATGCTCATTGTATGGAAGTTTCCTTCGTACACAGATAAAGAGACCTATGCTGTCGTGAAAGAGGAGGACGATAGCATCTGAGTGGAAATCTCGCAAGGAACCTAAATTTTAAAAAGGAGATATCTTGGCAAACGGAAACACTTTCAATCCATCCTCTTATTCTGGCTTTGTTGATTGGCTCTAAACCCGACTTTTTAAATCGAGCTATATTCAATCTTTCATTCACATTATTATTGGGAACTATTAAAACAACTATTTCTGTATCTTTTTTTCAAATGATTCAATCCTAAATTAAGGTTTAAGATGACTTTTACACAATCCTCCATAATATCAGAATTGTTTAATTTTTGTTTGATTTAGACAATGACGCAAATGAATATTCTGTTCTTATTTCATAGTTTAATCGAATCAAAAATGAAGCAAAATGTATCATCTCTATGTGTGATACATAACCCTTCTTTTGACTAGGTCCCCATGCATGATGCTATGAAGGCGACTTTGATGGTGATTGTTGAACTTACTGCAATTTCAGTGGGCGGCAGATCTATAATTTGTCAAGGGGAACCCAAATAACTTCGCACAGTTTCGGCAAAAAGATTTGTTGAAAACGATGTTCATTTAGCCTACAACTGAAGCGCCATGGGGCAGTCCGTGCACACATTGTCAACGAAAAACTCCGGGGTACGGTACGTAAAAACCCCTGTATTGCAAGTGAAACTTGGTGGCGCTGTTCTGTATATATCGATACTACATTGCTGAATTTTATATATAAATATATTACGCGTATGCATTATTAATCACCCGTAAAAGGTAATCTAAATATTGAGTTGTTGAGGAGATCATTCAGTGACGTATCCAGAGCGGGGGGGGGGGGGGGGGGGGGGGGGGGGGGGGTCGGGGTCATTAGAATGTCCCCCCCCCCACCCCGCTTTTGGATTTTACGGAGGCCAAATTTCCGGGGAAAAAAGGTCTACATTTGGGCGCGGATGTGCGGTTGCCCCCCGGCCCCCCCCCCCCCCCCCCCCACATGCAAAGCTGGATACGCTACTGAGAACATTGCTCATTAGATTGCACAGTGCTTTTTTTCATAAGATTTTCATTGCTAGTGCCGCAGTTTGACTAAGCACCATTGATTTAAGATATGCTTAAAAGCCATTTTGTAGATCAATAGTTCAGCGCTGTCAAAAAATCCGGGCTCCTTTTCGATTCCTAAAGCAAACTTTACCGTTTACTGTTCCATTATAAAAATAATTCTGCGGTATTTTAATAAATATTCTGTACAGCTAAGGAATATTCTTAACTTTGTCGATCTTGGTCATAGGAGTCCAGTGAGTATAGGGAGTACGCCAACCTCCACTGTGAATTTTTAATGTATCCTATTGCCAATGTTCGTATCTTTATTTTATAATGCGTACATAAAGTATCCTATCTCATCGACAGTAATATTCTTTTGCTATAAGTTAATTTGTGTTGAGATAGTGTGTGACGTAGAGCTATACTTCAAGTATCTATAAGTAATCGAATACAATGAATTTCACGACATAAGGGTTTTGGTTTTCGTTGTCACACAGTCTAGCATAATTATTTTCATAGGCTACTTTATTGGTACTTTTTGTTTTGTCAAGTTGACACACCCAAGGTCACAGGAAATTGTAGGTTCTGTTTGAGCTGAATTTAGACTTGGGCTCCCAGACTTGTTTCGATTGTCAGTTCGGTCGGTCTTTATACATTAAAAATACAGCGGGAACAGCAACCTCATGCGGCCACTATTTATTGAATCATTTGGATCCGATCGAACGCCTTGTCCAATCGTCAGCAAAAGCCCATGTTTTTCTTTAAACCACTTTTTTGTGCATTGGTGCAGTGTGTAATATGAGAAATCGACACACAATGTGTGTATGTATTATGTACAGTACAAGGTCTTGCCAAACCGCTCTCTAACAATTATACAAGTTTTCACGCAACGATCGATACCAATAAGAAAACGACTTCTAAGGTCAGCTTAGGCTATTTAGCATAATGAGCACCACCCCAAAACCTCACATGGACGATTGGACCAAGGCGTCAGTCTAGCTCCAAATGATTCGCATATAGATAGTGGCCGTGTTAGGTTGCTGTTCGCTGTATTTTGTACACGCACTGCAAAGCCATCAGTCAGCTCAGTCAGCGCCCGAGACCTAGATACAGGGCGGACGAATGACGAACGCCTTGACTAAGGCTAGTATCACTGAGAATAACATTTTTTGCACTTTGTGCACGACGTTAGTGTGATGGTGATGCCAGAGGGCGCAGGTTGTTTATGTCCGACATTTTACGTTATACATGTACTTGTAATTAGTGACTAAAAATGTTGCCTAATAACCCTCATGTACATGAACTATCAGTGTCACAAGTTTTAACTTGGGTAATGGCGGGGGGGGGGGGGATTTGGCCCGCTTCAAGGCCCGGGATTTGTTTTGTTTTTTGGATCCTGAATGCTGAGCGAAGACAACTTCTGACCACTTTAACCAATTTATTTTAAGGAAAAGATAGTGATGTACGCAGTGCCTGCCTTTATTGTGTTTTTTTTTTTTGGGGGGGGGGGCGTTGACACCCCAGGGTTCCGCCCTGGCAAACTTGGTGGTAAGGGATTAAGTATTACCAATATTCTATTTGTATTTTTTCCTTGTCATTTTACACCAAATAAGTAATTTTGAATTACAGCAAGACTTGTGGGGTTGATGAGTCCTTTGTATTACTGTGTAACTCTTCAGTATACATTTTGAAACTTTAATCACAAAACTCGACCGTGCTTGCGACACCATCACGGTGTCTTTGTCAACTGGTGTTGTTGAGGCCCTATCACGTGACCCGTCACGTGACCAAGCTTGGTCGCACGACAGGAGGCAGTCGTACACGTGGGCCAACTCGTACCCTCCATCTCTGTTCATATGGGGGTGGTGTCTGCGGATTACCACGGCCTCGCGGATTTTGCGTTTCCAGAGGTCGTCCTCCCTGGCGATGATCTTGACATTGTCCACGGAGATGCTAGAGATTGAGGGTACGAGCTGGCCCACGTGTACGACTGCCTCCTGTTGTGCGACCAAGCTTGGTCACGTAACGGGTCACGTGAGGGCCTCAACAACACCAATTGACAAAGACACCGTGATGGTGTCGCAAGCTCCAGACGCGAGTTTCGTGATTAAAGTCTCAAAAAGGTATCTTTTGTTTTATTGATATAATAATGGGACAGGAAACGAACTTCCATGCTCGTCTTCAATCAGTATAACTTTTAAAATATTAATCAATGAAATTATTATTATGAAAGAACTTTGTTTGCTTGTTTGCTCGAGCATTGCTATCTGCTTCCCACATGAGATGTCAATTTGTCCAATAATGCTGTGACTGTTGGCATATATTAAAAGAAGCTTCATACTTATTCATTTTTAACTCTCAGTTGTGTACTTTTTTTTTAAGAACTGCATAATCTCTTAAAAATGAATATTGAGCATGTTATAGTTACATGCACTAGTAACCACAAATGTAATCAAGCACTCCAAAAAACATTTGAGCGGAAAACAATATTCCATTCCACTGCTACATTTCTTTAGCGAGAACAAAGAGGCGCGTTCGTTATAGTGTATGCCTCTCGAGGGAGCAGGCACTCCCCCACACCCCAAAAGGGTATCTAGCTGTGCCCCGCCCCTTTATTCATGGAATGGTACCTAAGACTACAAAAATAATTCCTACATGTTTAACCTCCGGCACGGAATGGTCTGTCAGCATTTTTTCCCTGCTTGTGATTTAACCTTCCTTTGATTGTGCCCGTCTAGAAATAATTCTTGTGACGCCTGTGTGAATGGAGTACCCAGATGCGAGATTCGTGGGGAGAGATGCAAGATGCGAGATGCGAGATGTCACCATAGTCTCAAGGGTGTAATTAGATCAATATGATTTGCGGCACTAGAGGGCAGCAAACAACTTTAACAGTTATTGCTACTAGAAAGATAAAAAAAAACGAACCAACCGAACGACGTTTTATTAAAACATCTTCAATTACAACATAAAGAAAAAACCTTACAGTGGTGCAACGTATACAGAATAATGACAACTAAATAAAGAATTTTGGATGTTGACATAAATATTGAGAAACAGGGACATCAACGAAACAATCGTTAAGACTTTTGACGGTCAAACAGATGTTTATCCATGGAGGGTGTCTTAAAACACTTTTGTGGTTGAAAGTTAATGAATTACATCTTTAGACTCTCCATATGTGTATCAATACCCCTTTAATGTGACATCAAATGACGTCACTTAAATGTCCACGCATAACAGATGCCTGTCTATGTAAATGAAAAGTTTTAACCCAATACGGACTTGAACTTCAGAAGAAAGAAATGAGTCTGACATGCACTTTTGATGTGACGTCACGTTACACACAATGACGTTATCGCGCCATTAATCTTCGGTGATCATCTGTGGATCGGACGTTCATCAGATTTACAAAAGTGCCAAAATATATTGGTGCAATTAAAACGTGTAAAAACCCTATCAAGAAAAAAACACCACCTTTAATGTCTCGTAACTTGACAATTGACGACGATCGTCTTCGGGGCCATGTGCGGGTGGTGCATGAAGTCTGAAGTCGATCAGATCTACGAAAGTGCGAAAGTGTACTGTAAAAAGGTAAGGTAAAAAGTGTACAAATCAAATGGAGACAAGTCTGGAAAGGAAGAAGAGAAAGACAAATGTAAATAATAACGGAAACATATCTGTTTAGCAGAAGCCAATTTCTAAACGAAAACAAGAGCTGTGTGGGTTACTACCGAAACAGCTTTAAAAATCTTAACGATAGCTGTTTCGTCATCGGCCGAAACAACTAAAGCACACACTTCCAAAATCCTTTTTCTAAATACTGCTGAGACTTCAATTCACGGCAACGCCTGCTAGCTCGTCCATTACAAGATGAATTATTCGCTCAAAATACTAGCTCAAAATTTGATTACAGGTCAATGGGAAATCAAATCACTTTGAAAGGTACAGGCTATCGAATCGAAGTGTTGCAACTTCCACCATTGTGTAGATTGTGCAGACGCAATCACAAAGTAGGTGAACGTCTTTGTGATAAATTAAGTAGAGTGGAGCGTAAACATAATTTTTGGGTCAGTTGTTCGTCGATACTTGTAAGTCAAATGCAAGCTTTTGAGACAGACGTCCACACTGTTGAAAGCCTTGGGATTGGACGTTCTGTTGGGTCAGATTACTGTCAAAAGACCGATTCCCTAGAGACCACATGTTCTCAGTAAAATTTAAAGTTGAGTGGCTTGCAAAGCACCGAGTAAAATTGCACGGCCAAAGAGGCGGACTAGAGACCCTGGCGTTTGGTTGACTTAAAACGAACATAATGAACTCAAAATAATCATAGTTGCCAAAGGAAAATGTCTTCGGTCAATCGCCAAGAAATCATGACGGACATCGGAAATAGCACGAAAGACGAGTGGCATTTGAAAAATTCGTCTACTAGCCCTGCACTGGTGGCAGTCAACACAATCATCGCCTGCCTGGCTGTACTCGGTAACGGCATGGTCATCACCGTTATGCTGCTGAAGCGACGAGTGTTCAGCTCCTTCACAAATCGTCTCATACTGCACCAGTCCATCATTGACTCCATTGCTGGAGTCCTGTTTCTCGTCCGTGTCGTTTACACGAGTCAACGCATCACAATATCCGTCTGGGGTGACATTATAGACCATTTTGTTTGTCGTGTTTTGTATTCAGACTTCTTCTTTTGGTTCATCAGCGTGACGTCAACGTATAACATTGTCACAATATCACTGGAGCGGTTTATG